GTTTTTTTTTCATGGAATTCTTTTCACATTAACGTGTGCAAAGGATTCCCTGCGTGCCTACTATGATTCCTTCATGTTATTGATGATAGTGGGATCCATTATAGATGGGTGGATTTTGGATCATTTGAAGAGCTATCACTATCCTATGTGATTGAAAATGTGTACAATAGAAGAAAAGATGAAAGAATGTTGCAAAGAGCTTTAGGAAAAATTTCTCCTTCATGGTTAATACTTTCAAGATGTAGAGCTATGAAGAGCTATGCTAGGTGAGAACACATCCAGAATCCTGTTCAAAGTAGGCAGCCAGACTAATTTAACAACAAGACATAATGACACTTTGTATTGCGGTACCTAAACAATTGACTTGCAGAAGCTCAGCTTGGTATTTTATGCCCTAGGGTTCCTTGTATAGATTAATATTGGGTCATTATGTGAATACATTTAATATGAATTTTATAGTGAAATGAACAAAAAAGCTTGTTTATAAATCTAGCAAGATGATTTAAAACTGGCAGTCCAGAAATAGAATGAAATCGGGGGGGTGGGGGGTGGCGGCAATGAACAAACCCAGAAAACAGCTTCTATCTAGGTTCTAAATATTTTGAGATTATTTTTTTTAATATACCAATAGAAATTGTTTTGTCCTATAGCTTTAGATGTCTGCTTGTCGACCAAGCATTTTTTTTAAAAAAAGTAGTTACATCTCTGTTTTACCTTGTGCTGTAGCAGCATTTGTAGCAGCAGAGGGCATTATATCCCTGCAGTAAATCCTCTTGCATAAATCACCTGCATACATTTACTCATATTGATAGGGATTTATCCTTGGAAGTAGAAATCCAAAGTGATGTAAAATGGATCTAGTACTTAGGATAACAACCGTTTATATGGCCCTTTGATATTTTAAATTTGTGGAAGGATCCATTCATAACTTTCTTTTTTGCAGCTGTGTTGGAATACTGTAGGGGGCTAAGTGAATTTAGGCTTTTACAATAAAACGTTTCAGTATCGGGGATCCTCAGCTATTTTCGATTAGTAGGTACATTTGGAATTTTGGGAACATATGAATACTCCCAAAATGGCTACTGTGGGCTTTCTTTATTCAGAAAATAACTGGAGAATATGATACATTTAACAAAATGCTAACTCACTAGGGTTCTATCTGATATACCCCTAGTTTATCACTCACACAGAATAATATCTCCCACTTAACTTTAACCTGAGAGATGAGCATACTGCTAAACAATGCAGTGGGATCAACTGTCCATCATTCTTATTGGCTAAGAAAGCCGATGGATCCCATTTGGGGCATAGAAGCATTATTGAAGATAAAGATGATGCTAGATGTTGAAGCTTTGCTTTGCAGCATGCCAGTTTCCATTAAAAAAACAACAACTAAAAAATGGGATTGGGAGCCTGGTAGGTACCAAAGCAACTATCTTGGACATATTGGCGTCCATCAGCACCATATTAGGGATCCTAAAGCTACCATATATGTTGTGTTGTGTATACTCCAAATTTCTGTTATTAAATGGCTGTAAGAAATGCTTAAATGTTATATCTATTTATATACCTTTCCAATATTCAATTTCCAATAGAATTTAGTCAACATATTTGGTTTTGTTTTCACTAAATCACATTGTTCCCCAAACTAAATCCCATTGTGCCCAAATGTGTAATGGGTATTGTGATCCAGCAATGCATATGTTTGATTCTTGAATTAGATCTTTAATTTGTTAAAAGTTCTGCATCTTATGCTGTCAAAACTATATATGCTTTTTATATATTTTATTTATTATAATTATATTATCTAGAGGAAATATAAGCAATAGGGAACTATTAGAAGCTGTTGTGAGAAATGTCTCCTTCTGTTCCGTGCGTTACATATTTGTATTGCCATGGTTTTAAACAATGTTTATGGGATTCCATTTCAACATCATTTGCTCCCCAAATAGTTATTCCTGGAAAAGAGAAGGGGGGGGGGGGAATCAAATATATTCCATTGAATGGATTTCTGTCTTCAATGCACTGAGTTTTTCCTCCCATTTAATTGCCTAATCTTTTATGCAGTGCATAAATGACCTGGCAAGGTTACTGAAGAAATATTCTAGAATATTAACACTGGAGAGAAGATATTTACATTTGTCATTTTACAGTTGTAAGATTATAAGGTACCAATGATATGCAGCAATAAGCATCTTCAGTCCTTTGCATGTTAGTTTTATCTATTACATCACTACCATACAGCTGAACTGAATATAACATAATTTTCCTGTACTAAGGAGAAGTATTATTGTATATGTGTTAACTTTGCTGTAAATCTGGGAAAGGAATATATGTGGTGGTAGATCACATTTTAATTAAATTTATAAAATAATTAACTATTAGCTAAGACCTATTACTATCTAACTACAAAAGTCTTTGGTTATAACTTCTGCCATCATTCCAAGGTCTGTAAAATGAGGACCCAGATTTTTTGGGGCCATCTGTAAACTGCTTAGAGAAGGTTGCAAAGCACTATGAACCTGTATATAAGTCTAAGTGCTATTGCTATTCTTGGATGGTATGTGGGAATAACCTTGGGAGAAGGGGTAAAGAGATGCTCCTAGGGATAAAAGCCCGCAGTTGCATAATGGATGGAGTAAGACATTCAGAAGGAATCCACCTTAATTTTCGAGGCTGTGAATGTGATGGTAGGGGAATTATACTTTCAGGCTTCCAAGATTTTGTTAATATAGTTGTACAATACAGTAGATTTGGCTTATTAGGTTTATTTTCCTGTCTGGTCTACCTGATAAAGCTGACACTTTTGCACTAGGTAAGTGTTGTGATCCAGCCATTCTAAAATTATCAGGCTTCACAACAGGATTCAACAGTAAATCACAGTTTTCCAGTCACTTAATCTCTTTATGAAGCACATGGCCTGACTTGGCAAAAGACTTTCAGACATAACTGGATTAGGATCTTCGTTACAGATAAAACTAAATGAGATGAGGCAGTCATGCAGTTTAAGTCAGCAGTTTAAAAGTTACTATTACCCCGTCTTTTCATTTAGTGACTGTATCCTGATCCAGCAATTTTGCCATTAAGTGAAATGGTTGCTGAGTGAACACATGCCTGAGAAACACTGCAAAGATTACTGGTTGCTGCTGTCTTGTTCAGATAAATATATGTCCTACGTTGTCTTGTGACTGGTCCTTTTTAAAAATACTTTTTTTTTTTTGCCCTCTTACAAGGCAGAGAGTTTGCGTAAACAAGCTATCTTTTCCTGAGCTGGTTTTCTCAACAGCACAAAGCTTCTGTAAAAGGTGTTAATCACAGATTAATAAGCATAGCTCTGTGACCTTAATTAGTTGATTAGAACTTTTCTTCAGCTGCCTGAAACTGACCAGACCTTAATCTGTTTCACACTGAAAGTTTTTGTTGTCAGGTACACAAAATTAGATTGTAAATGCACATATTTGTCAAAAAATGAATTTTTATTACCATTGTATTTGTGAAAGGTCATTAACTAGCTAGTCACTAAACAAGGAGTGGTTGTAGTGTGTACTAAATGTCATTCTTGCCTTTGTTTTCCAGCAAGAAAAACAGTTTTTTTTGTTTGGATTGATTACCAGGGTGTCTTTAAATTGTGGCTTTTTTTTTTATTTTAAATTTTTTATTATTTTTCATTTAAAAAACACAAACATAAATCTTTTATCACAATATCAACCAAAGAGAATAAAGCTAAACAAAACATTCACAGACGTGTCCGGTGTACCCCTCCCGCACCACCCTCTTCCACTTACCACTCCTTCCTCCTCTCATTCTACCACCACTCCTCCTTCCTCCCTTTTTCCTACTTCCCTTCCACACTCAACCATCCCGTCCTATGCAGTTGGGGTATCACCGGACACCTCCTTAAAAAAATCCTACATATAAATCTATAATACAAACCTACCCTTTTCCCCCCTTCCCCCCCCAGGACTTCCCAAAGCTAATCTAGGAAATAAACACAAAATAATCAAAATCTATTCACAATTACTCTATATTACTACACACTAGTATAAACTTGCTATGACTCTAAAATAACATTAAGATACATACAAATTTTTTTTTAAAAACATCTTTTGTTAATCAAAAGCTACATAGTAATTTTTCAATTCATACTTTCTCTGAATATAATCTATCCATCTTCTCCACATTGTGGCTTTTTGTTTTGTCACTTCTGATCTCTAAATCAGGAAAGGTGACAGTGGTTCCCCAAGTCAATTGAGGGATTTCATTTAAGGGACTGAAAGGGGAGTATTTTTTGAGAAAACGCCTTAGATTAGATGGGGAATACTTGTGGGCTGGGATCTCTGATCATCAGTAATTTAAAGGGAGCTATAAAACGATCAGGCTTTGTTAGTATGGTTGACCTCGAGATGCGAATGTAAACCATCATTTAATCACCCTTGTTTTCCAGATGTGCACAACAGCTGAACTATACAACAAACTAACCACACAGGTTAGATAACACTGTGGTACATTGTGTGCTGCTGCACTTACATGATCCTCAGTTTCCATGTTTCATGACAGTTTCTGAGCCACTCTCCCAATTCCTGGTTCCCTCCCCCACCC